TGTGGTGGGTGGTGAAGCTGGAGGAAAAAGTTGAAGCTGGAGAAGTAGGCAGAAATTTGGGCTTCATCCTGAAAGGGTAATGGGGAGGCATTGAAGGATTTCGAGATTACAGGTGTGAGCCATCCATCCATCATCCATCCATCCACTCATCCATCCATCCATCCATCCATCATCCATCTATCCATCCATCCATCATCCATCCATCCATCCATCCACCTATCCACCCATTCATCCATCCACCTATCCACCCATTCATCCATCTATGAATGGGTGCACTCCAGCCTGGGTGACAGAGTAAGACCCTGTCTCAAAAATAAAATCGAGAGGGGAGAATCTTGCTCAGCCTTGTGTTTTGGAGATCACTGGCATTCTGAGAGGAAGATGGACTGGACCAGGAAGGCCAGGAGGCTGGGGCATGAGTTCAGGGCTGTGGTCCAGCAGAGAGATGGAGGAGGAGAAGGAGATGGATTCAGGACACATCCAGCTAGCCACTTTGCTGATGGACTGGATGTGGGCAGTGAGGGAGAGCCCAGGGACAGAGATGACCCTTGGGTTTCTGACCTGAGGAACCAAGAGGACACCCTGTCAGGAACGACAGACACATCAATGGTCATGTTGACTCTTTGTAACAGGGGAGTGGGGCCTATTTTGGGGTTTGGGGTGGAAATACTATTTGGGGCCCTCACATCTCAGCTGGGCTGGCCCTGATCCCAGATTCCTGGCCCCCTGGGCAGGGCAAGACAAATCCGGCTTCAGCTGTCGGCGTTGGAGATGAGTGAACAAATGAACCTCAGGTGACACTGGTATGACCGGGATGACCCTTCTGCCTAGCTGCTCCCTCTCAGTCATCCACAGCTGTCAAATGCAATTGAAGATGATGAAGAGCTGCCCCCCTGCCGCCTGGCCCCTGCTCTGTGACTGAGAGCATCCTGGTTCCGCCCATGTCCTGTTCCGACCTCCTTCCTGTCTTTCAGGGAGAAGGACCCTGAGTCAGCCTGGCCCGGTGCCCTCTGGCCAAAGTGGAGCGGGAGTGTTGCAGCAAGTGCTGGGGCAAGGGCGGCAGGTGCCTGGGTGGTGTGCCTGGCCCGCTTTAGTCAGCAGCGTTGAGACAGGGAGTTACCTCGGCTGCTCCTCCCACTCAGATCCAGTCCCTCTTTCACACTCTCCTAACAGGCCTAATGGTGTCTGGCCGGCTTCCCTGCTGTGGCCCTTTCCCTTCCTCTGGCCACAGCACCCTCTCCCTTGCTGCCCCTCCACAAAGCTCTGCCTCACTGCCACCTCCTCCAGGGAGCATTCCTGATTGCCCTGACAGACCTCCAGGTCTTAGAGTCCTCACAGCATCCTAAAGATCTCTCAATACTTCTCGCAGGCCCGGACTTCAGCACATTGTGTCTGGAAGGTCCCTTGGTATCCATCTCACTGCCTGGGAGAACTGACGAGGAATAAGCCCAGTTAATCCCTGGTGAGAAAACCACCCCAAAAATGTCCCTGTTCCCCACTGCCACCTCCCAAAGAAGGCTGATGCACACTGGGCCCTTCGCGCCTGTCTCGCCTGCCCTTCCAGTCCTGTGTGGACTCAGTCGGGGGACACTGAAGGTCCAGTGCATGCCAGACACAGTGCTTGGCACTGGGGATGCCCACGGCATGGGGCAAGGCAGACACAGCCTGTCCTCATGTGACTGGTTCTCAGCCTGGCATTAAGGCTGTGCCCCATGCTGGGGTTCATGCTACTGTCCTAATTTACCTCTGCACATTCCCCTCTCTGCACCTTTGCCTAAACAGTGCCCCCTGTGACATGTCCTTTCTTCCAATCTCAGTATGAATCTTATTTACAAGACCTAGCCCCACAGCCACCTCCTCCAGGCAGCCTTCCATGAATTCTGGCCAGAAGCAACCTCTCCCCACGCTGTGCCCCAAGGCCCTTTAATCTCACCTCCATGTCACTATGAGAAGTCAGGCCCCGTTCCCCCACCCTTACCCACTGTGAACTCCTGAAACAGCAGGCTCTGGCCTCTGCCCACCCTGCAGCGCCAGGTATAGTCCCTAGAGCAGGCGTCCCCAGACTTTTTACACAGGGGGCCAGTTCACTGTCCCTCAGACCGTTGGAGGGCCGCCACATACTGTGCTCCTCTCACTGACCACCAATGGAAGAGGTGCCCCTTCCTGAAGTGCGGCAGGGGGGCCGGATAAATGGCCTCAGGGGGCCCGCATGTGGCCCGCGGGCCGTAGTTTGGGGATGCCTGGCCTAGAGGCTCAGCTGCCCTTGCCAGCCAGGCAGCCTGCACCAGCCTTGAGCTGAACCAGAACCTTCCTAGTCCAGAACGTTCTGCTGCTGCTTTCATGATCTGTTCCCCAGAACAAACAGGGGAATTTGGGTCCTTCTGGAGAAAGCTCTGACTCTGTGAGAAAGCAGGGAGGACTCAGAACTCACCCGGGGAGTTTCCCAGCGCAGACTGCAGCCACTTCATCATTATCAGGCTGCCTGCTGAAACACAGCTGTCCTTTGCAGGCAAGTGGAGCCCCCACAAGAGGGTGGGCAGTGGCTGAGTGCGTGAGGGCAGGGCAGGCGGGAGGGGTGGTCGCCTCCTCCCGAGCCCCAGGCCTGGCCCTGCACCTCTGGGCCCAGGCTTTGTCTCCAAGTCCGGGCTGCCAGGTGCCTGCACCCTTCCCTGCCCAGCCGGCCTCCTTTGCAGGGGACTCTGCAGGGAGCCACTCTGAGGCTGCCCCTCCCTTTTTCTGGGATGTTGGCACCCAGGAGGGGCCCAGGCAGGAAGAGCAGACTCCCCTCTCCTTCCTCTGCACCTGCAGATGGAAGCCAGCCCTGGGCACGGGACGGGTGGCTGAGGGCAAAGAACCCATCTGGGCTGTGGCTTGAGGAGGGGGCAGGGGCAGGGTCTCTGGCAGCTGATATGCCCCCCAGAGAAGCAGAGAAATGCTGGTGCGAGGCCCACCAAGGCGGACCCCATTTTCCCGAGATCAACCATCCTGGCAGGGCTCTGTGGGACAGACCAAACTTCCCTCTACAGGTGATGAGATTGAGGTCCAGAGAGGGTCTGTGAGCTGCCTGAGATCACACAGAGGATCCTGCCCACAGAAGGATTCCAGACATGGAAGCAGCCCCAGCCTCCCAGGCTGCCCTTGTGAGGGGTGGGGCAGAGGAGCGCCTGGGGCTCCTCCTGAGGTCGAGGGTCCTTGTCTGGTTTCCTTTCATTGGAATCCCCCCGCCCCACCTGAAGACTGATGAGGTTAGCTCTGAGCGATGCTCTGGGAGAGTGGGGTTTCCACAGGTATCCCCAGAATGTAAAAACAAGAAACAAAAATCTCACGACACAGAGCGGCTGTTGCTGTTATCAGGACTAGTAATGAAAACGTAGTAATGATTCAGCGATCAACACAGGGCGGACCGTGAGAGGGCAGAAGGCACCTGCACCGTGTTGCCGAGGGGGCACTGCTGTCATTTTGGGCTGGCCCTGGTCATGCAGGGACAGGGCAAAGCCAGGCCTAGTTCCCCCATGTCACAATCAGAGTCCAGGTGCTGCCCTGCCTGGAGCCGCCCTGCTCTGGCGCTGCCCACCTGGAGGGCATGGGACCCTCATTCTACTGAAGGGAAGCCCATGCTCTGGCTCCCGGGAGACCTGACAGGGTGACTGGCAATTTCCTCAGGTGGCCAGGGGCCTGACCCGCATGCAGTGATGCTGTGGCCTGGGGCTAAGACCCTAGAGTCACAGAGAAGCCAGTTCACCAACTTCATCCACCGCCTTATGCTTGTAGTTCTTTCAGTCCTGCCCCTACTGGAAAGCGGACTTGCGTTCTGTCATCTGCCCTGCACTGAGCTGGAGTGCCGGGAAAGTCAGCTCAGGGCCTCGCTCTGGCTGGATCCTGACCAGGCGTCCAGTACAGACTCCCGGACACAGCGCTGCTAGAAGCGAGAAGCGGCATCTCCCACTGACCCCTTTGTTCTGTTCTGCATTTTTTTTTTTTTTAAGACTCAGTCTCACTCTTGTCCACCAGACTGGAGTGCAATGGTGAGATCTCAGCTCACTGCAACCTCTGCCTCCCGGGTTCAAGCAATCCTCCTGCCTCAGCCTTCCAAGTAGCTGGGACTACAGGTGCCCACCACCACTCCCTGCTATTTTTTGTATTTTTAGTGGAGACGGGGTTTCACCATGTTGGCCAGGCTGGTCTCGAACTCCTGACTTCAGGTGACCCACCTGCCTAGGCCTCCCAAAGTGCTGGGATTATAGGCGTGAGCCACCGCACCCGGCCCTGTTCCGCATCTTAATGTAAGGCAACCCATTTAGGGGAACGTGGTTTCCCAAGCTTTTTGGATTGAATGGTGATCGAAGCACCACTGGGCTCTGGCCTCCTGTGGTCAGGGCCTAGCCTGGGATGGGACAGGCAACTGAAGCTGCTCTGTGCCCTGGGTGGGCCTCAGCCTCTCTCAGAGGCAGATAAAGCATGGACCTCCCTGCAGAGCAATGCCCCTGTGCCCGTGGCCCGCAGCCAGAGTGGCCCCCCAGCGCCCTGAAGCTTGCCCATGGTCCAGGAGAAGAGCCCTGCTCGGTTTCTGCTGGTTGACTCCCAAAACCCCCGTCTGCCCCCACTCAGGCCGCCATGCATGAAGGACACTCTCTAGCCACAGAGAGATGAACTCAGTTGCAGATGGAGGCTTTTCAATTCTAATAGAGGAACCAAGAAATGTCCCCTTTGAAAGGAGAAGTGTGTCACTGAATGGGCTCCAGACACATATACCCCACCTCTGTCTCCAGTTGAGTGCCCATTCTCTGGAAATCCACAAACATTCCAAGAGCTGGACTTCTCCTGAATCATCTCAAATTCTTCAAACTTCACTGGTCTAGCAAAGGATGTGGGGAGGTGACAGAAGGCGGGGCAAGACCCCCAAGGTCTTAAATAGGTCACCGCCACCCTCGACTCCAGCAGGGTATCTCCCTGAGCAGAGGGTCCTGCACGCATAAACTCCCTCCTGGACTTCTGACACCATGGCCCCACTGAAGATGCTGGCCATGGTCACCCTCCTTCTGGGGGCTTCTCTGCAGCACATCCATGCAGGTGAGAGCAGGGAAAGGTGGCCAGGGGCAGGCACCGGGAGGACAGGAGTTGGGGGCATGAAAACCACCGAAGCAACACACATACACATTTGTGTGTTATCGACACCCCACCTACTCCCATCCCACAAAAGACATGCGAAGCCCACAGCACTAGGATTTTGAGGGAAACGAGCAGAGAAAAATGTCGATGATGATGATGTCGCAGCTCTCACAGGTGGACTTGGTAAGGACCAACATGAGCACATCTCGAGCTGCAATGGCTGTGAGGTTGGGATTCACAGCTGTAGTTGTGCAATAGAAAATGAATGATTCTTAAAATTGTTTATTAGCATTTATTTTATTAATAAGTTTTATGCACAATGAGAGAATCAGCATAAAGATTTCAAGAGCATGCAAAAAAGAGTTTCTTTTCTTTTTGAGATGGAGTCTCACTCTGTCACCCGGGCTAGAGTGCAATGATGGGATCTTGGTTCACTGCAACCTCTGCCTCCCAGGTACAAGCGATTCTCCTACCTTGGCCTCCCGTGTAGCTGGGATTGCAGGCACCTGCCACCATACTGGGCTAACTTTTGTATTTTTTGTAGAGATGGGGTTTCAACATGTTGGTGAGGCTGGTCTCAAACTCCTGACTGCAAGCAACCCACCCGTCTGGGCCTCCCAAAGTGCTGGGATTACAGGCATGAGCCACTGCACCTGGCCTAAAAAACAGATTCTTATATTAGGTTAGGAAAGGAAAGATGAAATAAGGTTGCCAGGCATAGACACACAGGACTGCACACAGACACACACACACGTGGGCACTCACAGGACACACAGGATCCCCCACAGACACATGCAGACATGCATAGCCACAATACACAGGACCCTCACAACATACACAAAGGTCTCACACACATACCTGTGCACATTCACACACACACACACACACACACACACACATAGGCAGTGACACATGCAGTTACCACACACAGATGCACACATGTGAACACGCACATGCCGACCTTCCACAGACACCCCCAGGGCTCCCGCAACACACACGCAGACACTCAAAGACACCCCAACCCGCTTCCTCTCCCTGCAGCTCGAGGGACCAATGTTGGCCGGGAGTGTTGCCTGGAGTACTTCAAGGGAGCCATTCCCCTTAGAAAGCTGTCTGCTTGGCACAGGACCTCCCAGGACTGTAACCGGAAAGCCATCGTGTAAGTGCCCCTGGCCCCACCCCTGCTTCTCTGGGCCAAGCATGGGGACAAGTGGACCCTGGAGCTCCCAGAACAGCCACGGGGAAACAGGGATGAGACAGTGGGGACCTTCCTCCCCGACCCCTCCAGGCTCCTTGGGGCAGTTCGTGTACCCATGCTGTGGGACCCAAAAGGGCTGCAGGGCATCAAGTCCAACCTGTTCCTTGATTGTGGTGAAATCGAGGCCCTGGGAGGGATGAACATTCAAGGTCACACAGCTGGTCAGGGGCAATGCGGTCACCTCCCCTGGCCTGGGCCTGAGCCCTCCCCACAGTCTCCACATCGCAGGCTCTAGGCCGTCTTCGGGCAGTGTGAGGGGTGGGCACAAGGTCCTGCAGCCCTGGTTCCCTGTGAGGGTCCAGATCACTCAGGACAGAGCCTGATGTCCCAGACCCGCCACCAACGCCCTGGGTGACTACAGCAACTTCCTGCCCCTCTTGGAGTCTTGGAATCCTGTTCAGCACAGGGCAAGGCCATCCTGGGGACTCTGGGGCCCTTCCTGCTCTAACATCCCTGGGAACGTCCTCCCTCTGTGTAGGCTTGTGACCGTCCAGGGCAGGGCCATCTGTTCAGACCCTGAGGACCAGCATGTGAAGAAGGCGCTTAAATACCTGAAAAGCCTGCAGAGGTCTCGCAGCCTCCTCACCCGGGACTCCTGACTGTCTGCCAGGACCACCCGGTACCTCCAGCATCTGTGTTCACCACCCCAACCCCCGAGCGCTTGGGTCCAAGGGAGCCCTTCCAAGGACAAAGAAGAGCCACAGGGAGGAAGATCCCAACTCCTTGTCTGAACTGGAGCCTTGGGCACAGAAGGGCCCAGATTAAAGTCTTTCTGCTCAGTCTGTGTCAGTGTGTCTGTCCCCACAGAGCAAGACGCGGTTCCACTCCCGCCTGTCACACTGGGAGGGTCCTCAGAGAACATCTGGTCCTGCGCTGTGCAGGTCGGAAAGGGAAACTGAGGCTGAGAGGGGCACGTGGCTTCCGCAGACCACGCACCAGTGAGGGGAGGCCCTGGTGAGAGGCCCGGGCAGGGGCGGGGCTGGCAGGGTCCTGGGAGGCGGCAGCTGGATTCTCGCCGCCTGAGGTCTCCCGGTTTCTCCCCAGCCCAGTCCCTGCTCTTGCCCCACGTGGAGCTGGGGACAAGCTTCCTTGAGGTGCTGGAATCAATTCCACAGACTGGCCAGGACCCTCCCGCAGGCCGCAGCTCCGCCCAGTGCTGGGGAGCCCGCTGGTGGAGGGTGGGGGATCCTGCAGCCCTGTCCCCGCCTCCCCTGCACACCCTGCAGGCCCGCTAGCCCGGCTCCTCCTGGCCCTGGCTCCCTCTCCCCGCTCAAACTGCAGACCAGCTCCAGGGCGAGCCGGCTCTGTGGGTCCTGGGTCCTTACGCGGGCCGTGGATCCTCTGCCTGCAGTTACCTTCCCAGGCCCCTCCAACCGCAGGTAGGAGGGTGCCACGCCGCCACCGTTCCTCCTGACTGAAGTCTGATCCCCGCCTCCCGGGCTGACCCCCCCACCCAGTTCAGCCGCACGCAGCCTGCAGGAAGCCGGCCCAGCACAGCCGCCCACCGACTCGCTCCCCTAGCTCGTGGGGACTGCGCTGCAGCCAACCCCTGCTCCGCCTGGTTCTCCCATTGGTTCGTGTGTGTGTGTGTGTGTGTGTGTGTGTGTGTGTGTGTGTGTGTGTGTCAGTCCCAGCTCCTCCATTAGGTTGAGCGCTCCGTGAGCCACTCCGGGCACCTTGCACCCCTGTGCTCAAAAATATGAGGATTGTAGGCTCAGGACACCCCACCCCCAGGCCCCTTTGCCCAGGCCCAGCTGAGGGCTGAACACAGCGTGCAGCGGGGGAGGAATCGCGCCTTCGTGTCCTAGTTCTCTCTCACTCTCCCAGCTAGCGATGCGGCCGTGGCTTGTCTCTCTGAACACAGTTTGGCGGCAGGGATGGGTCCTTCTCTTCCGAGGACCCTGTGGCCGGCGTTGCTTAGCGGGGCTGCGGTTAGAAGGGCAATTTCCAGGCCTGGCTGTTGCCTCCTTCTGCCCCCTCGTGGCCAGTCAGCTCATTGCAGAGAAGATGACAACGCAAGTTCACTTTCCAACACGGGCAGGAATAAAACAAGAACAGCAAAATGAGCTTGATAAAGCCAGTGGACTGGCTTCTCTGTGACTCTAGGGTCTCTTCGGCTGCAAGTGGGCTCTTCTCCTGTCGTAATGCCGAGGAATATCCCTTGAACACCTGCCTCAGACCCAGAGCCCTAGGAGTGGCCCAGTCTGAGTTCTTCATGGAAAATCGTTCTCTGAATCCCCCGGCTGGAGGAAGGATGATCTAAAAAGGGAGGGAAGCAAGGAGAAGGCTTTAAGACGGCAAAGGCCAGCGATGGCCGGGGCCTGGACCCCTGCACCGTGCAGGCCGGAGCTGGAAGGATGCTCAGAGTGCAATGGCGCAATCTCTGCTCCCTGCAACCTCCCCCTCCCAGGTTCAAGCAATTCTCCTGCCTCGCCCTCCCAAGTAGCTGGGATTACAGGCGCCTGCCACCACACATGCCTTTTTTTTTTTTTTTTTTTTTTTTTTTTTTTTTTTTTTTTGTATTTTTAGTAGAGACAGGGTTTGACCATGTTGGTCAGGCTGGTCTTGAACCCTGACCTCATGTGATCCACCTGCCTCAGCCTCCCAAAGTTCTGGGATTACAGGCATGAGCCACCGTGCCTGGCCTCCAGCAAACTTTATTTAAAAAAGCAAGACCCTTGTTTTCCCCTGCTGAAATCCTACTCAGAAGCCCATATTGTAAGCTTAGATAAATAGAGGGGCTGTGGAGGCCTGTGAGGAGGTGGGGAGTTGCCAGAGGGTCCCTAAGGTGCTAGGTGGGGGCATGGCATAAAGGCAGGAAGAGGTGGATCCAGGACTGGCAACAAAATGCAGAATTCGGAATCCAAGTATTCACGAGCAGTGTCCGCGGTGCAAGGTGAGAGATGGTGAGATGCAAGAGGCAGGACAGCTGCCATGTTCCCCCGGGGTATTTTAAGGAAGTGTGACTTAGAGACTATGGTGATTGGAGGGCAGGGAGGGAGGGAAAAAGAGTAATGGGCAGGTTGGGTGAAAAGTCAGGAGGGACGCCCGTCTTACCTTGCTTCTTCCTCCCCTCTTCCCTCACCTCCCCCTACCCCAGCTTTTTTTTTTTTTTTTTTTTTTTTTTTTCAGATGGAGTCTGGCTCTGTTGCCCAGGCTGGAATGCAGTGGTGCAATCTTGGTTCACTACAACCTCTGTCTCCTGGGTTCAAGCGATTCTCATGCTTCAGCCTCCTGAGTAGCTGGGATTATAGGTGCATGCCACCACACCTGGCTACTTTTTGTATTTTTAGAAGAGACGGGGTTTTACCATGTTGGCCAGGCTGGTCTCGAACTCCTGAGCTCAAGTGATCCTCCCGCCTTGGTCTCCCAAAGTGTTGGGATTACAGGCCTGAGCCGCCATTCTGAAATCCAGTTTGTCTTCAACACTCAAGTCAGTGCTGCCTCCGCCGCAGCCAGCAGACCAGCCCTGGTATCTCTGGTTGCATCCGATCCTCGGCTGTGTGTCCTCCACCTGCTCCCAGCGCTCACCTCCATCTAATCCTGACGACACGCTGCCCCTTGTAATTGGAGCTGCTTGCATGATTTCCCCAATAAACTCATGGGGCAGGTATTTGGGTCAGGACAGTACCAGACTCATTTATGAGGAGGGGAAAAAAGCTTTATGCATAGTGTGTATTTGATTTATACATTTTCATCCATGCTGCTTGGGTGAATTCCGCAAGGGGCACTTGCGGGGAGAGAGAAATTTCGTGGGGAACCTGGGCTTGAAACATCACATCTCGGAGCGTGGAAGTTAGAGTTGGATTTTTCTCCAAGGGCCCACTAGAGGGCACTCTGCTCTTAGGAGGAAGTTCCAAGACTGATGGGCCAGAGACCCTGACCCCACTAGCAGGACTCTGGCCCCATCGCTGTACCCAGGGGCTGGGATCAGCCACATCGGCTGTAGCTGCACTAAGCCTTGGGGCAGAGGTGTCTGTAGCTGGCCAGCCCTCCTTTTGGGGGCACAGAGGCAAAGAAACCACACATTACACTGCCTGGGGTTTGCTGGATGAAGCGGAAGAAGGAAGAAACGCTGTGGGAACTAGCAGGGCCACTAACTCCAGACGCAACCTGGGCAGTGTCAAGAGCCCTGGGCCGGCGTGTTTAACTGTGTTTTCTTAGAGACTGTATTTGGGATCCATTTATCACAGGACCAAATCACAGAGCCAAAGGCATTTATAACTCTCCTGCAAGCCAGTTTTTGCAAGTGTTTGTAAGTAATGACAGTTACAAACCCTCCAACCAATCCCGCTCACAGTTCCAACAACCATCTCTATGTAACTCACACCAAGTCAGTATTTCCCCTGCCCTAAATCACCCAGATCCGGGTAGGGACAGCCAGGGACAGCCCCTATGCCCAAGGCCCTCTGGAATTATTTCAACTAGCTAGACCTGGGCTGCTTCTCTGCCCTGCCTTGCCCTTCAGGTGGAAACCCCGCGAAAGGCTGTGGTCTGTGCTGTTCTGATCCTTCCTTTCAGCCTCCTGACCAAACTTGGTACTTCCTCTGTGGTCCCATGTGTGTGGTCCTGTATGTGTGGCTCTGTATGTGTGGTCCTGTGTGTGTGGTCCTGTGCGTGTGGCCCATGTGTGTGGTCCCGTGTGTGTGGTCCTGTGTGTGTGGCCCTGTGTGTGTGGCCCTGCATGTGTGGTCCTGTGTGTGTGGCATGCCCTGTTCTCTTGGGAGATGCAAGTAATAAAATCTTTCAGTGACCTCAGTTGCTCTGTGTTGTCACTCAGTCTCCTCCATCAATTCAAATCCTGTAGGTACGTTTAAATTTTTTTAAACTGCTACATAATAATTATACATGTTTATGGGGCAAATGTGACACTTGACAGAGGCATACAATGTGTACTGATCAGATCAAGGTAATCAGGATATCCATCACCTCGAACATTTACCATTTCACTATGTTGGGAACATTTTGAATCATCTCTTCTAGTTATTTTGAAATATACAATAGGCCAGGCATAGTGGCTCGCACCTGTAGTCCCAGCACTCTGGGAGGCTGAGGTGGGAGGTCCCTTGAGCCCAGGAGTTTGAGACCAGCCTGGGCAACATAGTGAGACTCAGTCTTCACAAAATACAAAAACCTGCCAGGTGTGGTAATGTCTGCCTGTGTTCCCAGCTACCCAGGAGGCTGAGGTGGGAGGATCACTTGAGCACAGCAGGTCACGGCTGCAGTGAGCCATGATGGTGCCACTGCACTCCAGCCAGGGTGACAGAGGGAGACCCTGTCTCAAAAAGAAGAAAAAAAGGCTGGGTGCGGTGGCTCACACTTGTCATCCCAGCACTTTGGGAGACCAAGGCGAGTGGATCAACTGAGGTCAGGAGTTGGAGACCAGCCTGGCCATCATGATGAAACCCCATCTCTACAAAAAATACAAAAAAATTAGCCAGGCGTGGTGGTGGGCACCTGTAATCCCAGCTACTCAGGAGGCTGAGGCAGGAGAGTCATTTGAATGTGGGAGAGGTTACAGTGAACCGAGATCATGCCATTGCACTCCAGTCTGGGCAACAAGCGTGAAACTCTGTCTCAAAAAAAGAAAGAAAAGAAA